GCTCTTTACCCCGACGTCCTCCGCCTCACTCTCGCTAAGCGCATGGCCTCTTGGGAGCTCCCATTTTCGGAATCGTTTTGGGATGCCCTCAGGGATCTCATTCGCAATGGAGGCCCCCCAGCATGGCAGAGTGCAGTCCTGAAGACGATTGTAGGAGGTTGGCTCACCAGCGCGCGTTTGCACTCGTCAGAGATCGGCTTGTGTAGATTCCAATGTGCTCAATGCCGAGACGACATGCTGCACTATATTCATTGCCCTGTTTTGTGGAGGCTCCCGATCCGCCTCCTGAATGTCCCTCTACGCGTCTTGGGCTCGATGGTCACCCTTCGCCTGAGATCGTTGAGAGGATTGTGCGGGCTTACCATATATATAATATTGTGCGCGCCGCCCCCGTTCTTGGCCCCCTCGACAGTGAGGAGGCTCTCGGGAGGCATCACTACAATATACGGCGTGCTGCCCAGACCCTTGTAGAGCACTCTCGAGCGCCCTTCTAGGTCTGTTCGGTGGGACCCGTCTGGACTTCTCAAGGTACGAGTGATACATGTGTGTGCGTATGTGTATATGTCCACTCCCTGCTTCTTCCCTTCCTGGTGCTGGATCTTTGGAGTGACCGTCCGTGCCATGGAGTTTTGAATGCCTCACTTCTCCGTTCTGGTGGATACGGTTTTGGCGGGAGTTCGTTTCGAGTGGCGTGTGTGTTCTCTCTCTGCTCTTCGCCTCCTTTTCCTTCCTCCTCGCGCCGACTTCGTCTCACAGAGTTAGTGGCATTGCGGATTGATTCACAATGCGAGCCGCCTGCATGATCTGCGTGGCTTGCTCAAGGGTGTGTTCCGTGGAAGAAATGGATGTGTATATGCATATGTGTGTGCATGTGTGTGTATCCATTAAATGTCGTAACATTCCTATTGTCGTACTTTTGTTACGCAGGCTCCCCCCTTCGGTGATTCGGACTCCTGGAACTCCTGCAGAGCGTATCCCGTGGCTTCGGGGCTAACTGGACGTGTTTGGCGGGCTTCGAAAGCGGGCCCAAAGCGGTCAGAATTTCGCCCAAGCGGCTTTACAGCAGCCCCAAGTGACTTCAGAACACCCCATGCCGCCTCAATACGACCCAAGAACCCCCCCAACCGCGAAATTGTTTTTTCGTATTGCTCAAGTGCATTGCATGATTTTGGGGCGTCCGCTTCGTTGGTCTGCCGGCGTCCGAGGTCGCCGAAGACGCTCCCGAGATCGCTTCAAGACGGGCTAAACGGTTTTCAAGACGGCCCAAGAGAGCTTCAAAACATCCAATAGGGCCCCAAGGCGTCCCAAAGCACGGCCACGTCCGGGCCTGGCTGTTGAGGGAAACAGCGGCTGGCAAGATGGGCTCAAGAAACCCCAGTGGCCTCCAAAAGGCTCCCAGCTTCGGGCAGGCCATCCTAGAGACTCCACAGTGAGGGGCCTCCGCCAAAAACCGGAGAAGGATGACGGGGAAGTGTTCACAGGGAAAGGGGGGAGCGAACAAAAAAGGGGGGAAGAAGGGGAAGACAGGCGGGGAACAACGATGTACAAGAAGAGGACGGCGTGAGCGAACACATGGACCATGTATGTATGTATGTATGTAGGTAGGTAGGCAGGCAGGCAGGCAGGCAGGCAGGCAGGTAGGTTGGTCGGTAAGTAGTTGGTGGATAGGCAGGTAGGTAGGTAGGTCGGTAGGTTGTTGGGTCGGTATGTCGGTAGGTATGTATGCATGCATGTATGTATGCTTGTATTTGTGTGTATATACACAGATGCATGTTTGTATACTCGCACGCGCACGCGCACGCTTTCTCTCTCTCTCTCTCTCGTGTGCTAGGGTGCGTTACCCTCGTGGAGGCGCCGTCGCCACTGTTCGGCTTGCCCCTTGCCAATTCCACCGAGAGGTAGTAGTGGCGCCGCTGTCCTCCGGTCAAGGGGTTGCGACCGTGTTGTCCCTTGTCTGCCTGTTTTGCCCCGCTGGCGACGGCCTCCTGTCCCCGCTGCGTCCGTGCGGTCCTTGCTACCCCGTCTTCCAGTTATCGCGCTGACCAAGCTGCCACTGCTTGAGATTTTTCAGCGTGCGAACTAATCACGATTCCCGAGACTGCTCAGCGTGATACTAGTTCTCGCATGTCCGCAGCCGCGAACCACGCACAATATCCAGCACTTGGGCTTGTGTTGATGGGGTGCAGCCATATTTCATTTTCTGGTGTTTACGACGCTAAAACAGTATGGCAGATCGGCTTTTCATATGGAAATCCTTGGCTTGGAATGCGCAGTGCAAGGTTGCCGGAAGTCTTGCGAGTGAGCGGTTGTTTCATCATGTCACCAAACAACTTGATTGAGGGCGCTTACCTGAAGAAAGGTATCGCGGTAGGTTCGCAACGGATATTCGGGAACGTCGGGTATCAACGTCATGCTTACACACCGTCCGCGCGCAGGGGGCACGTCATGAGCTCATCCCACACGGGGGCATGGACCCAAAAAGGTTGATCAAAACGAGTTTCTTTTTGATTGAACGAAGCCGAATCGATTCCACATCGCAGAACGTAGGGTGGTTGGATCTGGAGCAGGCTGTCGGCGGGTCAGATCGCTCGTGTTCCAGTGTTCGTCTATGGTCTCCCGGTGGTGCCCGAGTTCAGATCTTTAGGAAACCAGTAGTTGATGACCAAAGGGTCGGTGAAACTATCCAACCCGATCGCATGGTTTATCTCCTTATCGAGAGGTTAAAGTTCAGTTCTCGTTAGTGAACTCAATTTTGAAGTAATGGTGTACACAAGCGAATTCGAGTCATTGCCAGTCGGACACTTGGTGATGTGGAAGATGAGTCCTGTGAAGACGACGAGAGAAGATGAAGTCCACCAGGTTTCGGATTATTAGCGGAGCTCGGATATGAGTGATGCTGTATGGCGTCTGGTACTGAAGCATTTTTTGGGATGCAGGGTCTGCCATAAGCGGCAACGAAAGCATAGAGTTTCTCGCCTTCCTTCATTCATTTCGGTGTAAGGTGAAAGGAATCTACTCAGCAGGTCTTGCCGCACGTGCAGCACAAACAGACAGTGCTGTTCCCTCCGGCAATCAGGCGTGTAGTGGTACTTTGTGGAATTTCAGATGATGAAGCGTTGGGTCTCACCAGTCGAGACAGAGGATGCGATGACAGGCGTCGCACGCTCCGTCGACGTCCCCTGCATCTCGCAAGGAGGAACGTTCTTGTATGTATTTGAAAGCATGCTGTAACGCTTGTGGACAGTGTGACCGCTTAGCGAAGGGCGATCACTTCCGAGAGAGGAATCAAGGTCATGTTGCCTGCCGCTCGAGGGGGTTGCCGCACAGCGAAATCTGCACTATCATATTTTCAGTGTCGCAGTGGCCGCATCGGATCTTGCATCAGCGCGTCAAACATATAATTAACGATTCTGAATGAGAACGACGAACGACGAAGGACTTCGAAATATTGCCGCACCAGATGGTGCACGTCCATTTGATCCGTCACCGCAGTGACGCTTGGGAGCATTGTCGGACGACGCTGCGATTTAATTCGTCGCATGTATCGTGTGAAGTGCAGCTGAAGCTGTTGGACGAGTGGTTGGACCACCTGCGTACTCAAAGCCATGGTGCGTGGGATATCGTCGAGGACTTCACTTTGCGTTGGTGACATTTGGAATGTACGAAGGCTTTGGCTCTTCTTGTTGGAGTCCATTGCGAACATGTCCACGCAACATCACCATTTTCAGATGCAAGTGACTTCGAACAGCTGCGTACATTGATGGGCCAACGCGCAGCACTCAGACTGCGACACAAGGCCCAGACGCGTGAAGCTGCGTCCAGCGCTCCCTCCTCGCGTAGGGAGGGTGACGATAGGGTTCAAGTAGCCCACATGTGCGACGACGGCAAGCCATATTCTGCCTGGGAGGAGGCTGGAAGGGCAGGCTTATTTTGGAGGATGGCTCGGGTAAGGCAATCTGTTGACGTGCCGGGGATCGGACACGCGAACTGCAGCTTCAAGGGTCCACGACAGACCTCGCAGGACTCGACCGCGCGTCAGGTCCAGACGCCCGTCAGCGTTAGGTCAACGCGTGGGCCCCAGACAGCTGCGCCCGCCAGGCGTAATTCGCTTCCTCGCTGCCCAAGTCGGCCAACTGTTTTTTTGCACACTCAGAAAGCCACGATATCTGATCCATGTCTGAGCAGCGTCCAAAACGTGGGCCCCAAACGGGAGGTTCTAGCATATCCGATGTGCAAGCTGTGCGGTGTCAGCCGTAGGGCACCATCCATAGGGCACCGCAGGGCACCGACGCAGGTGGCGCACTCCATTGAGCATGACCCATAGAGCACCAGCAATAGGGCATCAAATGGCACCGTAGTGCATTAACGCATGTCGTATCGCCGCGGAGGGCGAAAACAAAGGGCACCGACGAACCGCCCGCCAGCTGAGGCGCCCCAGGAGCCATCGGGGGCCGATCTCCTGCGGCACCATTGCGTAGGGCACTGGCCGCACGGCACCGACGCGCCAGCGGCTGGCTGCGGCGCACAGTGGACCATGTGGATGGGCGCGTGATCATGCAGGCGCGTAGTCAGGACGGGCCGTTGATCATTCACAGTGGGGCGCCTTCACTAGGCCTGTAGACGGCGCTCCCCGATGGGTGCACCAAGTGTATGATGTGTGGGCCAAGACGGTCTGGCCACATCGCGCGGGCGGCCTCATTGGGGCCATCGGTGGGGCTCCCTTCGACTCACGACATGCGTGAGGAAGTGCAGATTATGACGACGATATCGAAGACGACACCACCTGACATGGAAGCGATTACGACAAAGGCGACAGCGATGACCGTGACGACGAAGAAGACGTCAACATGGTGTCTGGACAGCGAGGAGAGGCAATAGTATGTGTGAGGACGGGAAAATGCGGAGCCGAGGCAGTGCAAGAGAAAGTGAGGTCCCAGAGCCAGACCGCTGCTTGTTTGGAAGCGAGGGCCAGCAAAGCGCGAGGGACATTGGGAGGGTAGGATAAGTTCGACTGCTCACTCATGGACATGTCTGCCCAGGGGGCCTACAGCGAAGGGATGGAGGATTGGTTCAAGTTCACGTACCCTTGGTTCTTCCCCTCATCCAGCTTAAGCTGTGGATGTCCTTGAGCCCCCCCCCTCTGAAAGCACTTCCCGCTCTCGGGTCGGCGAGGGGGGATGGAGAGGGATTGAGAGGGGGAAAAGGGAAAAGGGAAGGGAAGCGAACGGGATGGAAGCGGAGGGGAAGGGGGACTGGCCAGGGGAGGAGGGGTGGTGGATTCCCTACCTCCTCGCGCCGTGAAGAAGGTCTTTTATCGTGTTAGGCATTTCTCTTACGGGCCCTCGAGGGCGCGAAGTTGTTCGCGCTTCGCGCTTCGCGGTTGGGCTCCGATTCCTCCTCATCCTCCTCTTCTTCCCTGGGAGGCGGCGCGAGAGCGCGAAGTTATTCGCACTTCGCGCTTCGCGCAGCGCGAAGCGCGAAGTTGGGAGCCCTTGCATTTCTCGTACGGGTCTTCACGATCCGTTAACAACTGATTCGGGACGAGAGGCCCGTCTCCGGGAAGTGGTCCCGACCTCCGGGGGTGCACGTCGTGCGCAGAATGACGGCGTCGGAGGCCTGGGGACCCAGAGCGAACTGGCGGCGAGGGAGGGGGTTAGGGCCCGCCGCAGGGGGGGCAGGGGGTGCTCCATCCCCCCAGGGTGCATTTCGGGCCGATCGATCCGATTCGATATTGATGCTGGCACGCCCGATCCCATTCGATTCCGATATTCCGACGGCCCGATGTGGTCCGATGCTTGCACGGCGCTGTTTTGCATCCTGGTGCAGCCGGTCCGATCCGATTTTCCGACTCCGTGCCAACGCAGCCCAGTCCGATGCACAATCCAATCCGATCTGGTTCCCCGATCCGATGCTGACTGATCCTGTCGTGAACTTTCTTTGCTCGGGCCGCCCGCGGGGGCTCGAAGGCAAGTCGTGCCTCGCGCTCCGCGGCGTGGCGGGGGGGCGCTTCCGACACAATGGTGTGCCCGCATCCACCGCTGCGGGATGCCGCGCCCGGGGAGCCCCGAGAAGTGGCAGATATGCGGATGCCTGCCTGCCCCGGCGGGTGTCACCACCAACCCGAAGGCCCCAATCTGCCCTACATTTCCAGTGGGGGGGGCGTCGGGGCACATTGAAAAAGCATGTGGAACTCGCACCCCCCTGCAACCCGAAATTCGGGTCTTCGGGTTGGGTTGGGGTGGTCTGGTATGTAGTCAGGGTGGGGGTCGGGAGCCTTGAGACGGGGGTCAGAGCAAACGGGGGTCGGCCAGAGCGCCGGATCTTGCAGGATCCTGCAGAGCCAGGGTTGCATGGACCCGGGCTAGCGCGCATGATCCTGCAGGATCCTGCAGGATCTTGACAAGCCCGACTGACCCGGGGTTGCACTGACCCGGGTCAGTGTGTCACCGATCGACTAGATGTAAGACTGGCCTTTCGCCAGGGTGACCTTCGGTGCGGGCCCAATGGGGTCCCCCGATTGCCGAACGCGACGAGGCAGTGGCGTTTTGCGCGCTTGTGTTTGGCCCCCCCGCGACCCCCAAATTGCCGCGCACCAAAGGTCACTCTTACCCAGGGTCACTCTTGCGTGTAGTCGAACCGATTGATGTGCCCCACTCCCTGGGGGCCCAGGGCATGACCCAATGCGTTTTGGAGATCGTGGGAAAAGCTGCACGGGCATAAACTTGCGGAGCTCCGCGCGGATTTCTTGGATCGGCGCTGGGCCTGGCGCGCTCCCCGCCGATCCAGGAAATCCGCGCGGATCTCCGAAAGTTGTGGAACAGTTGGTGTTTGTTCAAGAGGCTAACGCCGTTCCGCCGAGCCCGAGAAGATCAGGTCCTAGTGGAGGTGGAAGGGGGGAGGGGCACTGCCAATCCTCTCACTCGCCTTTGCACCCCCGGCAAGCGGGGGCCCGCAAAACTAGAACCCAAGGGCCCCCAGCAAGCGGGGGCCCTTGGGTTCTAGTTTTGAATGGAGCACTGCTTGCGCGAACCTCCTGCCTCCTCCCGCACCCTTTCCTTATTCCTCCTCCTCCTCCTCCTTCTCTTCCCGTCTCCTCTCGTCTCCTCCTCCTGAACCAGCCGCATGCCCGCGGGCCCCTTCCGCTTACTGTAAAGGTCAGGGGGGAGCTAGGACACACTTCCCCAGCCACATACATTCATGCTTCTGCTTCCGCCCCCGGGATTGTCTCTCGAAGCTCATGCTCATGTGCGGCCTCTGAGCCATTCTAAAGGTGCGACCTCCTCGTCGAGACGAAGAACCAGGATCAGACGTGCACACGCGATCCACTCCCAAAGGGCAACATCAATATTAGAAACATCTTGTTGTGGGTACCTGGCGTGAAATATTAAGAGGGTGGATATTCGCCACGTCTGGGGGTACAATAGCATGCAGAGTGCACGCACGCTCGTAACACCTTTGCAGTATTTGCACTTATCTTCGGTGGGACCTTGGTTGCAAGCAAATGCTTTGCGAGCAATCGTACTCTTCTTTCTTCTTCAGGGAGGGAAGCACCAAGGGAACAGCATGATCATACAACTGGCTTTGCCAATTCATTGAACGCCAAGGAAGAGGAGATGGAGGAGGAGGAGGACGAGGAGGACGAGGAGGAGGAGGAGGAGGAGGAGGAGGAGGAGGAGGAGGAGGAGGAGGAGGAGGAGGTACGGATGAGTTCGGCCGAACAAAAAGGGCGATTCCATTTCACATGGTGTCGAACAGCTCGAAACAATTGCCCTGCCTGGTGCACTCGCCCGAAACCAATTGGCCAATGGATTTTCTGTCACATGAATACGAACGTTTGTCTTCTCACTGCGGGTCGTCCTAGCATTAAATAAGTACTTGGGAGCTTATCCGGGCAGACTTGGAAGAGGCCGAAGATGAGATGCAAGGGACGGCGAGAGCCCGAGCCGACCCTGCGCTGATGGACAGAATGTCTGAGTTATTTGCGAATTGGGATGAATATACATTTCGGAGTCTTGTTTCGCAATTGCAGGTCGAGGGCCTAGAGAAGGAAGGTATGTGTGCTTTGCGATGCTGGGGGACATCGGTGTAGTGATGCTTGAAGGCGAGAAATACACAATGTTGGATGAATCGAATATCGCATCTAACACAGGTTGTCATTGCACTCGTTTGGCCCGCGAGGAAAACATGACTGGCGCGCATTTGGCGCGTCGAGAAATAATCGCCCCCCGTGCCGAGAGTGTTTGGCCCCAGGCTCTGTGCCTCCCCCCCGCCCCTCGGCTCCCCCCAGGTCTCCCTCATCTCCCTCAGGGCGCCGGATTTGCTCGCCAGATCTCGTGGGGTCCTTTGGATAAGAGATGCTGGCCGTGAGCTTCTGGAGGGGGAGGGGGGCGGGAGGGGGGGGGGCGTGGGGGGAGCGGGGCGACGAGCGCTGCAGTTGGGTGCCCATGGCAGCGAAGGCTCTCATTTTCTGCAGCGGCGTCAGTGTACCCTCGTGTGTGTCCTAGGCAGCGACGGGGGCACCCATGCAGGGCAACTCCTGGTTTGCCTTCTTCTTTCCAGAATCTTTGCAATCAGGGAGGTCTCTCCCGCGACGGGCCCCTTGTGCTTTTCAGTGACATCCCCAGGGCGCCAAGGCATTGCCAACAGCGAATAGCCGAGGGACCCAGTGCTTTCATGCTACTCGCAAGGGCACCCCCCAGCTCGATTTCAAGGCCCCTCTCGGGGGCCTGTTTTCGGCGCCGGCCCCACTGCGCCTTTGCCTTCGCCTTCGCCTCCTCCTCCTTCTCCTCCTCCTCCTCCCTTTCCTCCTCCTCCTCCTCTTCCTCCTCCTTCTCCTCCTCCTCCTCCTCCTCCTCCTCCTCCTCCTCCTCCTCCTCCTCCTCCTCCTCCCCCTCCCCCTCCCGCTTCCCCCTCCCCCTCCTCGCGTCACCTCTCCTTCTAACGTTGTGGATGTGGTGGTTTCCCGGCGGTGCAGCGCTGTTCTCCTTAGGTTGGCGCGATGGCGCGCAGTCCAGGCGCGCCTCGCGCCTGGCACGGCGCGCTGAGCAAGGTTACGCGGCCCAGGACTCCAGCCGCGGCTCCTTCGCCGGCCGTTGCCCGCCTCCCATGGCCCATTTCGATCCGATCGATCCGATTCGATATCCATTTCGGCCAAGTCCATCCGATTCGGCTTCGATTTCTTGGAGATCCGTTGCGGCGTGCATCCTGGTGCAACCGATCCGATTCGATTTCGACTCCGTGCCGACGCAACCCGATCCGACGCACATTCCAGTTCTATATCATTTTGGCGATTCGATGTTGAGTGATTCAGCCTGCCCCCCTTTCCTCCAATCAGGCATTGGCCCTTGATCACCCACTCATCGCCCATAGTGGCCCGATGGCCCACCCCGCCCAGGGACGTGAGGATTTGCTACAGGAGGCGTATCGTCCATCTATCGGCGATGTATCGCCGATTCCAGCTCGATGTTTCCCCTCCTGAGCTTGTCCCCTCCTCCGTTGCCGTTTCCCTTCGCCTTCCCACCTGAGGCCTGGGGTGCGTTTTGACCGGGCTTCCGATCCAGATCTGGCCGCGGCGACGAGGGCGCCGCCGCAGGCCGTTCACATTGCGAAGAACAGTTGTCGAACGCTTCGATCCTCAATGCTCTATCGTCCTTCTTCCTCTTCCACACTGTCCTTTCTCCTCCTCCTCCTCGTCTTCGTCGTCCTCCTCGTCCTCGTCGTCCTCCTCCTCCTCCTCCTCTTCCTCTTCCTCTTCCTCTTCGTCCTCCTCCTCCTCCTCTTCCTCCTCCTCTTCCTCCTCCTCCCTGCTAGTCTCTGTTCCTCCCTGCTCTTTCCTGCTCCTCCTGCTGAGGTGCGATGGGCTCTCGCCCAACGAGTCCACGCGCCGCAGCCAGCAAGATGCGATCAGGCGCGTCGAGAAGGGCCTGGCGCCTCGTGCCCGACGTACCCCAGCAGCGCCGCTCCCGCAGGGTGGCTCCTCTTGTAGCCACGCGGCGCGATG